GGGGAATGGCAGCCCTCTGTGCCTGATCGAGCAATGATTATTGAAGCGCCTCTTTCCTCTGCTACAGCTAGGAGAGAATTATTAAAATCTAGACACAGCTGTTATTGCAATTGCAGCTTTATTATAATCTTGCGGTGAAGGAGCACTGGTGTGATCACAAGATGCGTGCTAACAGAGCGCTTCCCCTTTACTGGACCTTGCAGAAACAATTCCACCACTTCTTTCTTTACAGTTTTATTCCCACCAGCTGCTCTTGGTGCACACACACAGAGATGCAGCAAGTGGCACTGCCCTGGCCTCCGATACATCTGTCCTGCTTGGGAAAAAATACCTGGCGGTTTTGTTTTGCTAGAAAACAGCCTTTGAAGTTTTCTTCATTGTGCCTGCTCGGAAGGTCACAGCTAATTAGGCAGTTAAGTGTTCACAGTAATGAATGCAGCATACACGAACAGAGCGGCAATGGGCGATACTGGGTGGCAGCTGCAGAGGTGCTGGAGTTGTGGGGTGAGCGTGGGCTGGCAGCGCTCACCGTGCCCGTGCCTGGCTGGACGGGGTCTGCTCGGCTCCGACAAAACCTGACTGTCCACTCAGTTTTATCTGTGCACTTCTCAGTATAACAAACACATCTAAAAAGCTTTAAAACATGTGAAGTGATGTACAAACCCAACCCAGTGAGCTCTAACGGCAGGAGACAGAAGAAGTCAACTTCTCACTCCCCGTAAGAGCAAATCTGTCCCTTGACTGATTGCTAAATATCGCTGTGGCTACTAAAATATGAGCACAAATTACGAAGTCATAAGAAATCCTCAGTCAGCACAATTGTTCAACATGCAAAGAGGATCGTTCATGTGATACCAGTGACGACAATCAGCCGTAGGCTGTGGGTTTTAGCTCCTTTTCAAGTTTCTGGATCTCCAGGTACAGTTTCTGGACTTCCAGCAGCGTTTTCAGCTCTGTCAGAGGAACTCCACACTGGAAAGCTTCCCTGTTTCGAAGAATCTTCTCACACGTATCACGCTTTTTCTTTAAAAGAACCAAAACAAAGACGAAGGGCATGAAGGTCTGCTGCAGGGACCGATGTGCTGAGCATCCCCCTCCCACAGCAGCCCCATCAGGCCAGTCCTGCAGCAACACAGCAGCTGGCCGGACCAGCGCTATTCCAGGCTATAAACGGGGCAGGACACAGACAAAGCCTGGGCGGACGGTGGTACTCACACACGTGGGCGGTGGGATCCAAGTGCCATTAGCTGAGCAGGTGCTTTTTAAATTTACTGACTGCCGGCCACCCTGTCTGCAGTAGAACAGCAGAGTTTCATTCACCCCGTACCATAATTTAGGAGAGTAAATCACTAGGTCCTCCTCTCTCGAGGGCTGGGGACACTGAACTGGAAGGAAAATGCATGACAAAAAATAATGCAATGGGAGGATACAGAGGAGAACACGTCCTGCAAATTCCACCTGTTCCTGGTGAAAGCAGCAGCATCCCCAGGCTCTGCAAACTGTCCGCGGGGCATCTGCCCGGGTCTGGTACCCACCTGGGTGGCAGGAGGGCGGGGGGGGGTCCCAGGCTCCATCGGCCAGGCACTGGCTCTCGGCATCACCCTGCAGCGCGAATCCTTCCTCGCAGGAGAACCGCACGGCTGTCCCGTAGGGAAAAAAAGGATCCCCCCTGCCCCTCGCGATGGGGGGCTTGGGGCAGCGAACCACTGCAGGGAGAGAGCAGAGGTGGGAGCGGGGGGTTTGGCTGCTGCCCTTCCCCAGGGACAGCGGGGAACCAGCTCAGGGGGGCAGAGCTGCTCCTCCGGATGCTCTCTGCACCAGTTTTATACTCAAACACGAGAATTGCCCCTCAGCTGCTTGCAGCAGCCCCAGGGAGACCCCACCAGCTCCTGGTGCTGCCGAGCAGCTCACGGTGCCCAGACCTTTGCACAGGAGCCAGCAGAGCCACATGGCCATTAAACCGCCCTGGGTCTCCTGGAGCAGGCAAAGGGCTGGGGCTTGGTCCCAGCATCGTGCCCAGCTCCTGGCTGCAGCCCGATCCCGTACAGGAGGAACAACTCACCCCTGCACGACGGGGCAGGGCCGCTCCATGTCATGTTCACCCCATCGTCGGAGGTGCAGTAGATGGAGGCGTCCCCAATGAGGGACAGACCCTCGGCACAGCTGTATGTCACCTCTGCGCCGTACGGGAACTGCTGCCGTCCCGAGCCCGAGTGCTGCCCGTGGGTGATTTGGGGAGGGGGGCCACAGACTGTGGAATGAAGGGAATTGATAAGAAAATAAATGCACGGTTATCCTATTCAGGTAATAATCAAAATCACTTCTGGGAGATCAGTACAAGAGTTAACTCGGAGTTAATTACGAGAGTTAGTTACAAGAGTTAATTCACACGAAGCCGCTGCCCAGCTTCTCGCCTCTTACACCAGCTCAAGGCTCCCACTTCTCCCCCAGCTCCCAGGAGAAGACACCTCAACGCTTTCAGCCCATGACCGTGATCACCATCCTGTTTCCCAGGAGCAGGTGCTGAAGGCAGGGCACCTCCTGACTGCTGTTTCTGAATACTGACGCACCAGATTCCCTCCCAGCGCTGCGTCACACACACCTTTGTCACAGAAGGGTAACGGGGGAGCCCAGCTCGTGTCAGCCTGGCACTCGGTCGAGTCCTGGCCCCTGAGGACATAGTCCAAATCACACTCCAGCCTCAGGCGTGTCCCCACTGTGTAGTCATTCTTGCTTTTATAAATCTCTCTTCCATGAGGAATATCTGGGTTCGGACAACGAGGTTCTAAAAACAATGGAAAATAAAGGATGTCATGGATTTTCAGAAAGAACTCCAGGGGAGATGCTTTCTATGGAGATGACAGTTATCAAGAACATCTGAACCCTGGGAAGAAAGGTGACTGTCATCCAGAGGCAGGTGTCAATGCCACTACCATCCTCTAAGGCCACATGGAGATTTTCCTGTGAATGTCAGTGGACAGCTACACTGTACAGAGTGGCCCAAAACTTTGCATCAAAATTAAGTAGTCGCCAAGTTGATGTGCTTCACCAGCTCCCACCTACCTTCGGTGCACTCCGGAACTGCTGGGTCCCATCTGCCGTCACTTGCACACTGAAGGACAACGTTAGAGCCACGACCTTTGAAAGCGAAGCCATCGTTACACGTAACTTCCAGCCTGTCTCCATACATGTAATTGTCTTTATCTTCGTACACGTTTAAGGGCTTTCCGTTATTGATGTCTGGACGTTGGCAACGAATTCCTGAGAAACAGCCAACATTAGCAAGGGTGAAACCACGGCAAAGCCACCTCTGTAAGACAAAGCCACACCACAACGCTACATCCGCCCCAACGCCGTCCCTGGGTGCTCCCGGGGGACGGGGTGTTTGCAAGGGACTCTGCAACTGCAGCCTCCCCTGGGATGGAGCGAGGGGTCCCCGACACCACAACGTCATTTCCCGAGGTTCAAGGGACTAGAAAGCACAGCCAGTAAATAAAGCAAAGAAAACAACTCAAAGGCAATCAAGAGTCACAGCAAAGACCAGAGACACGCCAAGCTGGGCACCTGGAGCATCCCCCCTCTCTGCACAACAGCAGACCCCGGGCAGGTTCTTCATTCCGTAATGATTTTGCCAAATCACAGGGTGAGTAAGCCAAAGGAACGGACACTCACTTTCACAAGGATGCGGAGTTTCGCTCCACGTGAAATCCGGCAGACACTTGATGTGCCGCGTGGTTTCTCCCAGGCTGAACTGGTGGCCCTCCCGGCACTCGTAGGTAATGATGGTCTCCACGGGAAACAAATTGCCAGCAAGCTTTGCTTTAACAGCATTGTGCACATCTGGGGGGTCATCACAGCTGCCTAGGAACGGAACACCAATTTAGGGACAATGCCAGGGATAAATCAGCGAGGCCCAGGATGGTATGTAACATAACAGAGAGAATCTGGGGAAAAATCGTGGGCTCACATTGTTCTTTCTGAGATGCACTTAATGGTCTGAGTTGGGTAATGCTAAAGTGAATGCAAAGGAGACAAAACATATGAATAATTCCAGCCTGCATGCTAATTTTCACTGTTACAACAAGATGTAATTTCTAATAAAGTTTATACTATTTGAGGCTCTACCAACAAACTTTAAAAATATTAACTATAGAAAGGTTAATTTAGTCCCTTTGCATTCTAAAAGAAATGCCCGACAGCATGAATGGGATGAGGCTTTAGCCTCTACACCCCCAAGTCATAAATCCCTAAAGTCACCTTAGTGCTACAGACAGATTAGCCAAAAAAAAAAAAAAAAAAATACAAAAAGCTGAATCTTGGAGCTGCCACTTTCAGGACCTAATGCCTTCTGAGATGGGCGGGCACTGCACGGAAGCACAGCCGCTGGAGCAGCGCTCGGTCCCCACTTACTGAGCTGGCAGAGCGGCAGCGGGGGGTCCCAGAGGCCGTTCTCCGTGCAGGTGGCCGCGTCGCTGCCGTTCATGGCGTAGCGGAAGTTGCAGTCGAAGACGGCGGTGTCTCGGTAGGTGTACTCAGCCCGGTACCCGCTCAGCAGCCGCCCGTTCTCCACTCTGGGATGCTCACAGTTCACCACTGCGGCAGGGAAACGCCACTTAGGGACTGGGCAGTGATGCTCAAGAGGGGAGAGGAGGGTATTAAAAACATTCTCGTGGCATAAGATGCATCCACCAAAACGGCTGAAAATGGACAGGACAAGGGAGCAGGCTGATGGGACTTTTTTAACACCTTGCTCCACGTTACAGCATTTTTTTTTCACACCTTTTAAGGCAAAGTGCAAAAAGAACATAGGAAATGCAGCAGGTATCACGGCAGGTTTCCGAATTCTTTGCAGGCGTTATGTTTTACACAGGCCAGCAGGCAAGATGCATTGTCTGCTCTGTGACCGCTAATAAAACCCTGCTCCCGTGTCCCAGCTGACTCGGTGACCGTGAGCAGTCCCGGTCCCTGCGATGGGAGACCCTATTTCCCATCACTGCTGCCAAGCTGAGGATCTCATCTGCAAGAGGCGATTCCAGCAACAAAAGGAGAGAGACGGCTCCGAGGAAGAAAAGACCCTGAACACAGAGCAGAGGGCAGCGGGGACAGGGCTGCCGCGGTGCCCGGGGAGCTTGCAAGCACCCCACGCAAGGGAGCAGCTCACCTCTGCACTCCGGGGCCGGCTTGCTCCAGACACCATTGACGTTGTCTGTGGTTGTACAGAAAATCGAAGCGTCTCCCACCAGCGAGAAGGGTCTCTCTCCCCTTCTGACAGTGTGGCACCAGTACGTGACGGATGCTCCGTATTCAAAGAGATCTTTGCCAGCTCCACTGTGCTCTCCATTCGCTATCTCTGGAGGGGGGGAACACGGGATTGCTGGGGGGGGAAGAATAAGAGAGCAAAAAATTAATTTATTTTGGACCAAAAGTCTGGTAAGGAACTTAAAAACAGCTCTGCCTGGGCACTGAGTGGTTTGGGGATATTCCAGGTTTACATGCAGCTGCCTTACTCCCAGACAAGGAATAAATTTTTCTTCAGGATGATGCAGGAAGAAAAGCACAAAGGAAAAAAAAAAAAAAAAAGTCTTTCCAGACTCCACCATGCATCAAACTGCTGAAATCCTCAGCAGGGCTACGCGGCTGCTTCTTTACCCATCTGCAGGAACAGTTAAGCTGTAGATGAAGGAACTCTACTTACGCTCACAGATGGGAATATCTCTGTCCCATGTAAGAACTCCATTTTTAATCACACAGCGAATTTCAGAGTCTCCAACCAGTCTGTACCTGTGTGAAAGAGGGGAGAGGGAATGACTCGCCAAACCGAGTTTTGATGTATCACCTACAACATCACCATCAGGATGGTTTTGGCTTCCTTATCGTAATTACAGCTGATCAGAAATTTGCCATCAATGTCATCTTTTCAATGACACACGGGCTTTTGACAAAAGCATTTTTTAAATTAAAAAAAATTACACGGTTTCTAAGGAAAAAAGCCAGGTGTAGCTTTTGCCATAGCTCTGAGTTCAGAATTGATGTATTATTTTCTTCAAAAAGATACTGAAACATTAGAAATGGTTTAGAAAGGGCCAGGAGAGTGAACTTCAGGAAGACCTGCCTCATAGTACGAAACTAAGAAAACTCGGTCTTAAAGCTCCCAGCCGAAAGCTTAAAAGATATTCCAATCAGAGCCTGGAATTGCCTATACCGGTAAGGATTCTGCCAGCACAGGCTTTAATCTAGAGGGAAAGACTTCAGAAAAATCACTGGGAAAGAAGAGGACTGTGCCCGGAGTCCTGGCTTACCCAGTGTTGCAGGTGAAGTTCACTGCT